ACTGATTCAATAGGTGACTTTCAAAACAGCTCATGACTCCTCCTAATGCAGTGCGTTCAAAAGGTGGTGGTCCAATGGATAATGGGACCAGTGGGTCTGAACACATAACATGGATTTTGGCCTGCTTGCACAGGTTGCCCATACATTTCTGAACCCGATTCAAGGTGCTGGTTTTTACCTACAAAGCCTTACACAGCCCAGGGGCTACAGTACCTGACAGTTGGCCTCTCCTGGTGTGAACTTCCTGCACACGGCTATCAAGATCTGGGAGCCTCTTTGGAATGCCTCCTCTGAGGGAGGTTCAGAGAGTGATTGCAACAGAGAGGGGAGAGACCCACTTTTGTGCAACGCTCCCTATGGCAAGGCTTGCCTGATGTTCTCATTGCTACCCTTCCCACATCCTCTTCCACTCATGTTCCCAACTTCTCCCCTCACTCGTTTTCTCATTTTTCTCATTGCCAAAAATCTGCTTGGGAAAGACCAAATAGCTGCACAAGTATCTTCTAGCAGGTAGTGCTAGGAGCCCTCCGCCCTGAAGTACGAAGTGGTCCAGAAGTTGTCCTTTTCATGGTGGATGCTTTCCCTTGCTTTCCGGATCCACCAGGAGCTCTCAGTATGTGAAGCAGCATCAGGCAGACATCAGAACACACATGCTCTCTTGGCCCCAGTCCCTGAGAGCTGAACGCGGAGGCGGACTGGCAAGTGTGTGGCCTGGGGGTCCCTCATACCTCTGACTGAGGGAGTGCATGGAGGTTCTTTACTGGCGCTTGTCATTCTGCCACTTTCACTGCCTCACCAGGCATTCATAAACGAAGCAAATGAATCAAGACAGAGAAGTCCCTGCTTATTTCATCCTCTGCGTTCCTGTCATGGCAAGGAGGCACCGAGCTGGAAAGAGTAAAATATTTATACACGTGCAGCCCTTTTGTTTCCTCAATAATTGATACGGAAGTTCAGCCACTTGCAAAGGCCTGGAGGGCTGAGAAATGCCTCCCGTTCTCCCCACTACTTGAAGGCCTTGCTTGCCTTGGAGGCAAATTTTCCCAGCTGCATTTAGGAGCAGAAGATCTCTGGTAGAAGCAGCTGATGGAACCCTGCAGCAGAACAGGCTTCTCCTGGGCAACCTCTTCTGGCCTATATCTGGAGAGATGCACTGAAAGGAAAAAAAAATAAGCACTACTTCTTTCATCACTACAAGGTTAAGAAGAAGGAACTGCATAGCTGGTGAGGGCCAAGTTCATTTTTGGATTTCCTGCAGAGAACAGTCCTCCCTCCTTTCAGATCCAGTGTCAGCAAAGAGTCTGTCTCTGTCTCCCCCGCTGCCCCCACCACACACACACACTGAGGTTCTGCACTCTGAATGTAGCTGTAGCATTTGAGCAAAAATAATAGTCCTCTGACAGAAAAATCTCCAAATTATATTCTTCTATAGAATTCCCAGTACCACATGGGAATTGCATGGGGAAGGGACCTAAGGGGACACATTTGGAATTCTGAGTGTGCGGTGGGCATTCTTACAAAATTCTTACAAAATCATTGTATGTATTCATAAAATGGCCACCAAGGTGAGCACATATTTTTGTAGAATGCATGTCTTCCCAAAGGCCACTGATAAGACTAAAAGTAGAAGGCAGAAGTGTGGTCTGAACTTCAACACTGATCTTTGATCCCATGAAAAGATGGTGCTAGGGGACAGCCTTTCATTTCAAAGTATTATCAGCCTCCCAGTTAAAAATAACTTGTAATACTTACAAATCTTAAGAATTATGAAATAATAACCGGGAAGGGCAGGAAGCCTCATTTGTGTGCATTGGCACCTACAGTCATCACGTCAGAGACACCCCACCTGAAATGCCCTCCCCTTCTGTATTTCCTTCCATCCATCCATCCTTCCTTCCTCCCTCCCTTTCTCTGTTCCGAGAAGATGCTGCCTGCATGTGACGGTGTACATGAGCCAACCCCCAGCTGGTGCCCTCCAGATGTGCTGGACTGCAAGTCCCATGTAGGGCTGGCTGCGGATGCCGGGAGCTGTCCCCCCACACACTTGGAGGGCACCAGCCTAGGGTGGCTGCTGCGCGTGGCTGCTGGGAGTGGAGAAGGCCCCTGTGGAGAAGGCCCCTGAACAGCAGCGCACCCTTTGCAGGGGGCCGGTGTGACTGCTGCGTCCTGCAGTGACCTCTGATTTAGCAGAAGCAAGCCTCTGCTCTTTTAAAATGGAGACAGCTGGCAGAGCTGGTGGGGTCAAGTGATGCTTACTGTGCATGAAAAAAAGAGGAGGCAGCAAGGCACTGGGAGGAAGAGATCAGCAGCCGAGACTTTTCCCTCTTGCTGCCATCACAAGACTGGCAGCCAAGCAGGAAACGGACCAGCCTTGACAGATGGAGCCCGGCAAGATGAGACTGCTGTCCTCTGTGACAAGAAGGGCTGGCAGAACATCTGTCCCGGATGGCTTATTGTGTAGCCATCAGTGAAGTCCTGGCACGAGAACAGAGCCTTCCTCAACCTAGTGCCCTCCAGGTGTGTTGGCAGGAGCTCCCTATGCTGACTGGGGGATGCTGGCAGCTGTAGACCAACCCATCTGGAGGGCATTGGGCTGGGGAAGGCTGACTTGCACCTACTCACAGCACTTCCTGCTCAAGACCAGCACAAAATGGCACGTTAAGTGAAACGGATCAGTGATTTTAAAAAAAACCCTCCCTAATGATACCCCTGTGCAAAACAAGACAGTGTGAATTAGAAATCTTGGGCTATGAAGGCTGGCTGCAGAGGATATGAAATCAAAAGAGTTTACATGAAGTCATCAAGCGTCTGAGTGTAGGAAGATGACATACTGGAAAGCATCAGAGGCATCTGATTCCAGTGCTAAGACAAGCCTGTGATGGCTGGCCCCTTCCAGTAAATAAAGCAGGGGTGTTGAATCTCTTTTGGTCCAAGGGTTGAATTCCATTTTGGAGAAGCTCTCAGAGGCTACAAAAAGAACGAAGAGTCTGTGGCACCTTGAAGAATAATGAAATTCTTGCATAAGCTTTTCTGGACGCTTCATCAGATGCTTTAAAGGTTAACAAAAAATTGGCAGATATATGCATGGTGGGGTGAGAAACTTTTTTATCAGAGGCAACTGAAATGTAAAAATCCAGTCATTTCTAACTCCTTGTACAAATGCTAGCTTTTGCTTTGGTTTTGTGCTACTTTTAGTCTGTGTAACCTTTGAGAAAGCCATCTTCAGGTCTCTAGGAGAGTGTTCCAGAGATGATGGGATGGCTTGGATTTCAGAAGCATGGTGGCTGCCCTATGAAATTGGAAAAGCAACCTTTAGAGGAGGGGGAAAGGGAAGGTTCTGTTGGGAACAGTGGGGGAAGGGATCCAGAGAAGCCAGGCTAGACTCTTCAGCCTCCTTTCCTCTCTCCCTCCCCATCGAATCCATCCAACGAGAAACTCTGCAGACAGGGGAGGCCGGTGGGGGGTCATGGCGCAAGTGCCAGAGCAGGACTCGGGGAGTTCCACGTTCTCGCGTCTCATCTCCCGCCTGAGCATGAAGCTACCTGCGGGGCTTTGGGCTGCTCACTGACCCTCTGGTTATTGCTGGGAGGATGGAATGGAGAGGAGGGGTACTGCGAGCTGCCTTTGGCTCCTCCCAAGAGAGCAAGTGCCTGGACAGGAATGCGGTGGCGGCCCCCTTCCCTTCCCCTGCCCTGCCAGCATCAGCCCTGCAGGTTTTCGGATGATCAGAAGCCTCCGAGTTCAGAGGTTTCTGACGACACAGTGACAGCACAGCCCACAGCCCCGCACTCGTCATGCTTTCATACAGCACTCTGTTCCACTGTTGCATTTTAGGGTGTTAAGCCTCATTTTGCAAGTGGCCGTTCCCTTGCCAGCGATGCTGCTTGGGTCTGGGCCTCTGGGGATGGCCGTCGGACTTCCCCACCTGGGCTCCGCTTGGAGTCCTCGCCCCAGGCATCTGGGGGGCGCCAGGTGAGGGAAGGCTGGCATCTCAAAGCACTGGCCGCGGGTGCCTCCTCGTGCTGCTTTGCTCTTCTGGCTCAGCGGGCGAGTTGAGGCCAGCCGCAGGTGCCGGGGCGCTGGCAACGCCCACAGCTGGCTGGGCTTTTCCTCAGCCAGACGGCAGGCCAAAGGTGCCGCAGCGGGAAGGGCCAGCTCTGCCCCGCGGGTGTCCCTGGTGCGAGACCGTGTGTGGCGCCTGGCGAGAGAGCCCAGCCCCTCCCGTTCAGAGGCCGGGAGCACACGCCCCCCCCCGCCCGCCTGCCCCCTAGGCCTCGCAGCAGTACCGGGCCCCAGGGCACCACTGGAGGACCAGTGGCTTTCCATCCCGCTCCTCTCTCCTGGCAAGCAGAGACACGTGGCAGGCGAGGGGAGGTGAGGTGAGGCGGCCTGATTCACACGGGCAGCACCCCCTTCCCCTTCCCCTTCCCCGTGCTTCTGCTCAGTCCTTCCCTGGGCAGCCCCGGATGGGGCAGCTTGGCTCAGGGTCAGCCCTGCCTGCTGCTGCTTCTATCCCAGCGAAAGCAAAGGGCCCTAAGAAACGTCACCCATAAGCGCGATGAAATGTCCGTATTGTCCCATCCTCCTCACCTGAGGATGGGAAAAGTTGTCTCCCCGTCGAGCGAGAGGGGGGCGCTGTTGGGGGGAGCAGGGCGTGGGAGCGGTCGCTTTCTCGGTCGCGCCGGTTTTGGGGCGCTTACACGGCCGTTCTGATGCCCGGTCCCTCGGAGCAGTCTCCGTCCAAGCGCTCCTTCTCCAGCTCGGTTCGCGCCATGGCCAGCCGGCAGGCCGCCGAGAGGCGCTCGCCTGCCGGCCAGCCCGCGCCCTGGCCACGGCGCCGCGCCTCCCGGTGCTCGGGCCCTCTAGTGGACTGCGGCGCCCGTTGCAAGCGCCGGAGGATTTATAAAGGCGGCGAGGGCAGGCGAGGAGTGGAAGAGGCTGGCGGATAGTCCCCGGTGCTGAAGGCGGCGAGAGCGCGACACGTTCGAGACCGGCTCGCCATGGCAGGGAAGCAGCAGCAGCCCCCCTACCTGCACCTCGCGGAGCTGACGGCGTCCCAGTTCTTGGACATCTGGAAACACTACGACGCTGATGGTCAGTGCAAACGCGCAAGGCAGTCAGGTGCCCGCTCTCCGAAGCGGAGCGCAACTGATGCTGTGTTGCTTGACGCCAGTTTGTGCTTGGTAGACTTCTGGAGGGGATTTAGCCACTGTTAAAATGACTTTTGCTAAGCTGCAGGCATGGAAGGATCTTTTCTACTTTAAAAAAAAAAAAAACAGTGAAAAGACCGTAATCAGTTAGCTTTAAGACATAGTTCAGAGTAGCCATCTCTGCTGTCTTGTACTTGTTGACCAGAAAGCAGAGCTGTTTAAATTAGAAATGCTCCTTTGCTTCTGTTGAATGTAGGCTACAAACCACAATAACAAAAAAAGGGAAAAGGGAGATGAGAAGGGTGAAAAATGCCTCAAATCAAAGTGAGCATGGGCAGGGGTGTGTTAGCAAGTGCTTTATTTTGTGCATTCCGGGTTGATCTCAAGTTTTGTTTTCCTTCTGATGCTAGTATTCACAGATGTTGCAAGTTAATAAACTTTTGCACATCTGCAAATGCGATGCGTTAGAGATCCTGTCCCACGCTCGGGGTGTGACATGCCTAACCTTCCTGGTTCTGCACAGCACGTGGCTATGTTACTGCAGGGGTTGCCCCCAGAGGCGGCAGGTGGATTGCAGTATCAGGGGGACTGGTGTAAGGCCCGGGCAATTGTGGCTGCAAAAAGTTCCCGAGGACACCCATTCATTCATTCATTATATTTCTGGACCACCCTACAGCCAAAACTCTCTGGGCGGTTCACAACAATCGACCGTCTATGGGACCCCTGCCCATAGAAATCAAGTGCATTATGTTTAGCCACTGGTTGCTATCTCAAGAAAGCACTGCAGGATCTTATGCCCGGTACCCAGAAACCTACTTCTCAGGGACAGCCATAGGTACTCGTAATTCAGTCAAGGAGACCTGGGGTGGTTGCCATTATCTTCTAATCTAGAACTTGGGACAGATGGCACCTACCTCGCAGGCTGAGCCGGCAGGAAGATCTTGTGTATAGTATGGGGGGATGCATTTGACTCTGGCACCTGCCAGAGGCGCCTGCCTTCTCTGCTCTCCCAAACATGCAAAGGGGATGTTTAGAAAGGGCAGAACATGAGAGCTTTGACACCCACAGCCAAAAAAGCTGTGTGAGGAAAGATCCGCACAGGGATTTAGACCAGAGAGTTAAACATATCAAGAGTCTGTTCTGCCTTTTCAAATATGTACCAAATGAAAAGAGTGATCCCCCCACTCCGATACCTACTGTGAGAAGTACCTTCTAGACACCCAAAAGAAAAATTGGGCGGGGTCAATATTTGTGTGGCCTTTTTGATGGTCAGACTAATTGCCACATTGTCTAATTTGTGACAGGAAAATAATACATCCCAGGTGATATACTGGCAAGAGAAACTGGTACCTGAGTATAGTGGGTGGCCTTGGCAGCTCTGCTTGCTGGGGATGATGAGAACTGGAGTCAAGCACACCTGGAGAGTACCAGCTTGGGGGAGGCAATGCTGAGGAGTGGACGTTGCTCATCAGAACTGGGAATGGCTTGCTAACTGGGGTGTTGAGCTAGAAATCACTAGAAGAGCTTTTCAGATGCCCTTCTTTTCTCTGGCCTTTCCTTAAAAGCAGCTTTTATCTGCTACTGACCTGAGATGGCTTTAGCCGTTGTTATTTAAATATTCATCGGAATGTTGTGTGTTTTAGAGCTTTTCGTTAATGCTTCGTAAGTTTTTCCCCTTTCCCTGGTTCATGCTTTTATTGTTCTATTCTTGTCACTTAGCCTCCAAAAATTGATAAAAGTCTATTTTAAGAGAGCTTTTCCCCTTAAAGACAGCATGCAAGTGTCTTGAAAAAAATGGAAATGAAAAATAGGCACTCTTATAATGATGGATGGCAAAGCCACAGTGACTGTTCGAGCAGAGCATCATCCAGCTACCTCGCCTTCTTTCTGGCTTGGGCTGAGGGGAGCGGCTGAGGGCAGCAAAGCAGTCGTCCAAGCTGCTGTGCTGAACTCCATGGCTGTGCTGGCTAGGAGTTCTGGGGTGTCTTCCAACCCACCCAGAGGGAGCCAGGCCACGCGAAGAACTCGGTGGCATTCAGTTCACAGGGCTCATTCTTGGTTTGTGGCCAAGCACTCTGAGCAAAAGGAGGACATGTGCACCCAAGAGAGGAAGATGAGTGGGTGGGGTGGGCACACTGCCCCAGGTTCGCTCTCTTTCCTCCTCATCTTCACCACCACCTGTTTATAATGTAGTAAACCAGCACCCAGCATGGCCACAGCAGCCTCGTAAAAACGTATACCTTAAAATACAGGAACATATGCAGATGATGCACTAATTACTAGTTAAAGCCTAACAAAACAATAATGGTCTAGATAATAGAGGCAATGACTTGCTTTTCTGCTGGTTGGGGGAAATGTGTGCATAGACTGAATGTTCCCTTAAGAAGTTTCATTTCTGTGACTGCAGGTAGTTAAGGACAGAAGTGGCTTACGGCTGGGTGCCCTCAACCACTGTACTTAGTTTCATGGGAGGAGGCCAGATTTTAGGATGAGAAGCCCCTGCCGAGGAAAGTGCCTCTCCTTTCTGTTGAGTCTTTCCCATGCCAGCATGTGTTGGTACCATGATCTCAACTGGGCATTCATTAAAAATTAATCCAAATCGTCTTATCCGCAATGGATTTCCTTCCAGGATTGTTTGCAAAGCATGAAGTGCTTGTGGGTTTGCCTGGCTACCACCCCCTGCAGGCGGTAGTCCTGGACATCAAGCTGTTGCTAGGGTTGTTAAGGGAACGTTTGTTTGGTTTGTGTATTAATACAAACTTATTTAACACTCTTGAATCTGAATGTGAGCTGAAACCGAGTCATTCTTTATCCTTCTCTGAATTTTGCAACTGAGTTCTCCAACTAAAATGGATTAAAATACATATGAGGGGGAATACACATAAAAATGTGCATATATGCAAAAACATAAAATGCGTTATACTAGGAGACTTTGTATATTATGTAAAACAGTACAAAAATAAATTCAATAGGCAAACATTACAAAAAAGTATAAGAATTCATGCAGAATTTTGGTCCAGGATGAACCAAATTTAAGATTTGAAAAATGAGAAACTGAAACTGACCAGGGCACTGATTCCTCCCGGCCATCTAGCGCCTGGTGCAAACACGTCAGACATTGAAACAGCAGCTGCAGTGCCACCAAAATGCCTCTTGTTTTTCTCCTGAACTCTCACTAGGCAAGAGAGGATGACTTTGAACAGGAGCATCTTCCTAGTAGAGAAAATTGCCGGGGCAGCTCTCTGGAACCACCCGCACCGTCTTGCCCACTCTGCCCCTCCTGTCAGGGCAGCAGCGCTCCTTGCTGCCCCTTGCTGCCCCCTTCCAGGCACCTTCCCCTTCAAGGACAGAGAAGAGGAATTTCCACCCTTTCGATTTTCACCCGCATGAATCTGATTAAGTCCAACGGTTGCTCTCTTGGTAGTGAGAAAGCCATACTTCGTTAGCATTTTATTATTTGTTTTTAATAGGTTGTTGTTATTAGGTTATTCTACAAATATTGGTTGTGGTATTTGATGCTAGATCAGAGGTGGAGAAGTTCTTTCAAGCCAAAGGCCATATTCCACTTCAGATAGACTCTTCCAGGTGTGGGGGAGGCCCAGAGCAAAGAGGTGGGCCAAATACCCAAATTCCGGCATATGTTAGACTAAAGCGCTTCATTTGAATTTGGTTCATTTCCTAGTAGAGAAAATTGCCGGGGCAGCTCTCTGGAACCACCCGCACCGTCTTGCCCACTCTGCCCCTCCTGTCAGGGCAGCAGCGCTCCTTGCTGCTCCTTGCTGCCCCCTTCCAGGCACCTTCCCCTTCAAGGACAGAGAAGAGGAATTTCCACCATGAAGATAGTAAAATGTCCATTTCAGCCTCTCCATATGTAGAAGGGTAACCAACAGCACGCTTGATCAGCAGCAGCAGCAAGTGGGAAATGTCTGGTGCAAAGAAGGGGGCACTAAAGGGAATAACAAGCGCCAATCCTGGACCACGTGGCACAAGACCAAATAGTGACTGCCCAGTGCATGCAGACCAGTCAGGCTTAGCTGGGCCCAGAGTTCATCCGCAGCAGGGATCATCCCCTTGCAATATAAAGACCTCAAAGTGGAAAAGGATCGTTCCTTGTCCCTGAGCATCTGGGCAAGCTCAGGCCTTGACACCCTGACACCTCCTGGTGTTCATGGGAAGCATGGAGTCAGATCCACAAGGAATCTCCGTCTATGAAGGAGGTGCCAGACCCCAACAAAATCCCGCTGCTCCTGCTTAAAGGGCCAGCGCTGCCAATTTGCGCAAGCAGCTCTATGTCCGATATGCAACTGTGCATTGACGCAAAGCCCGAATCGATTGAGGAACATCAGAGCTGTCTTGCATGGGGTCAGCCCCTGGGCCATCCGGCCCAGTGCTGCCTGCACTGGCTGGCAACAGCCGCTCTCCAGGGCTTCAGGCAGGGTTCTTCGTTGGCCCCACTTGCAGATGCTGCTGTGGACTGGGCTTGGGATGTTCTGCAGGGACCCAGCCATGGAACCACAACCCCTCGTGGTCACAGACAGTGGCGTGTGTGCGCATCCGAGAGGAAAGAGGAGAAGGGGATTGCTGAAGTAGAGATCTGATCAGTGTGCCCTCTTAAAGGGCTGAAAGTTCCCAGACGCCTTGCCACTTTGCATAAGCACAGCTTAAAAACAAAAATGAGCCCCTCCACCACAAACACAGGGAAGCAAATGATAGGTTGCTGCACATAATTGGAGAGTGCTCTGGTGTGTGCTGGGCGGGGGGCTCCCTGGGGGAGCCAAGGACACCCAGCCTATTATTAATATAATCATTTGGCAAGTGATCATTAGGCACAGCTTTTCAGTTACGTCACCATGATATCAGCTCTCGAAGAAAGTGAGAATCTCAAAGTACCCTCTCCCTCCTGCTTGAGTAATCCTGCCAGTGGATCTTGGAGGACCACTGCAGTTTTTAAATCAGCTTTCTACCTGATCAGTCCAGAGAACTGTCCACTGATGGTGCTCCATAGCTGATGCCTCTCCCAGAGAGATGGACTGCCCTTGGAGCTGGATCTTGGGAACGGTGGATTCCTACCCTTACGGCACCCACCTTTCCCTTGAGGAGTGCCCATGCGATGGCAATTGGGCACCTCCTGATCTTCTGCGTGTGCTGTCTTACAGAGCCTTTCCCAAGTGGGTGCCCACTGCAACTCCCAGTGGCCCTGCTGGCCAGGAGCTGTGGGAGCTGCAGCTGAACACGTCCGGAGGGCTCCAGGCGAGGGGAAGCCGATCTGGCAGGATAGCGCAGAAGTCCTGTAGGCACAAGAAGTGAGAAGGGTATCGAGGGGGAATGTAGTGCATCTAAAGTGTTCGCATCTGAAGCTTCTCTTCACCGCCTTGAGTGAATACGTTCAAAAGGAATATTTTACAACCAGGAGGAGGAGCAGGGAAGAAAAGAGAACAAGAAGTACTTTGGGGAGAACTGACAAGGCCCACTGCGCATGGGGACTAAGAACTCTCAGTTAATGATGCTTTTCTGGATCAAAGAACCCATAATAATGTTAGGGTGGCCACTTATGAATCACTAAACAAGAGGAAATGTACCACCAAAGGAGAGGACACAATATAACACAAGTTTGTACATAAACAAGTTTGTGCATAAATGCTTTGATCAGTGTGACCTCAAAGCAAAACACTGCCTCATGCGTAATGAGTAGGGGGAATCCATTCTCTAAGTCTCTCTAACCACTTGGATTGCCTGCCTCCAGCATTTGTGAACAGGCATAATAAGGGCAACTGCAATTTCTTTCAGATGAGAGTGGGCCAAAATTCATAAAGTTTTCCATTTTTGGAACAAAATGAACTCGACAAAGAACTGCATGTGGGAGAAGCTCAGACAGATGGGTTCCTTTGTCCAGACACGGAGCTTTGAGTGCTTTGTTCTTGAAGGGCTGGGCTTGATCTGCTCTTCGTGGGGTTGCCAGCTCTTTTTCAGGTGGGGCCCACTGCCTCATGGCCCTCTCCATGCTCAGAAGAGCTGCACCTGCTGAACTGGGCTGGCACAGATGGGGAAGAACTGAGTTTCAGTTCCTTTTTAACAAGAACTTGCCAAAATCCAACCTGCGTATGTAAGAGAGAAATAACCTGAGATACAATATTCACGTGTGGAAGAAAGTGAAATAGATCAATTTGCCAGTCCTTGGTGAAGCAATTTATTATAGCTCTAGGCAGCAAAACAACGAATTGCCAAGGACGCCCCCCCACCCCCGGTCTTCCTTCTTTCCAGATCAATGATCCTAACCTTCGTCTGTCTTTGGACGTGCTCTCTGAAAGTATCTCTCATCCTGCTTACCCTCTTTCGCTGGCTATTCTCCCCATGGGGACGGATCGGCGAGGTCTCCGGAGGCCCTTTGTTCAGGACACATCAGGGACCAATTAAAGGAAAGCACCTGCCTGAACACAAGCACAGGGACTCTCCACTTCAGGCTTTGTAAATTGCCTCCCCCATCTCCACCCTCAGTGGCTGCCATCCATGGGACTCAGGCTGGTCAGAGAAGGGTGCTGAGGGCCGAAGGAGGCATGGATGTATCTGGCAAGAGACAGGCACGGAGCGTGAAGGGGGCAGGTGGAGGGGACAGGATGGCAGGCAGGAGGAAGGTGTGCTGAATTCCCCTCCACCACATCCAGGCTGCAGATACGCTCCCAAGGGAAGACTTTTGAAATCTACACAAGTGAATGAGGGGGCAAGGCATCCATTTCCCCCGCAGCGTCCATGGTAGCGCCATGGCATTTGGAGCCCCAGGCTTCCCTCCTCTGCCCAATTTTGGGAAACAGGTGGCTAGGGAGTCCGTCTCTTCCAACCTGGAGGCAGAAGGGCCACCTGCCCATTGGGAATTTGTGTGAGGAAATGGCTGGATCATGGGGAGATCACTGGGCAGGCCACTGACTCTTGGGCTGTGTCCACGCCGCATGGCAAGCAACCCCACAGGGTTGTCGTGGTTCACTTTTCTGAACCACGATCTACCAGTGGCCTCGTGACTTCCGTCCACTCTCTGCCTTGCTGCTTGCCTCTTCCTCATCGGCCACACAGAGAGGCTGGGTGGCTGGGGTGGGTCCTGCAGCTGCCACACTTCCCAGGGAACGTGGGGTGGTGACATACCATGGAAACCATGATCTTGGGTTCAGACACCATGACAAGCCATAGGGGTGCGGAGACGGCATAGAACAAGCCATTGTTTCTGAAGCTTACCATGGAGAAATACCGCGGCTGGGCTCAGACCACACAACAGACCAAAACTGGTAAAAGAAGCGTCGTCATGGCTTGTCATGTTCCCTGTCTCTACCTTATAGGGCTGCTTGGTGCATGCAGTGGGGTGATGGGACATGTTCCACCTGAGGGAAGTTGGGATAAAAACATATACTAATGATACAATAATCGCCCCCACAACAGCAGCTATAACATTTGCAAATAAAAGTTCCACTGTGCAAAGAAATTTAGCTAGGGAATTGATTGAAAAACAGCATGTATCCGAAATGGGCTTTAACCAGGGTTTATTTTCCACAGCAGCTCAGCTGTGAGCAACATTTCCTAAAGGATAAGGTCAATGCAACAAGCCAGAACAAGGCAAAAGAATAATTAAATGCATTATTTTGATGTATTGCAGCTGCTTCTGACAAATAGGCTCAATGCTGAGTCAGCTCTCCATGGGCGGATCATCCATTATTTGCCAAGCAATGGCATTGATGGAGCTTATCAATTTTGTTCTATAACGTGCTCCAGTTTCCATTATCCTTCTCGTTGCACTCACAAATCGAGTGATATGGATTTCAGCCCCATCGCCAGAACGAGGTCTGGGCTTTCAAGGGTGCGAGTGGAGAACTGGCGGCAGGCTCCGGCTTTCCTGGCGATCCTGGTGCCTGCTGGGCAGTGGAGGCAGAGCTTGGGGGGCTGCAGCACACGTGGCAGCACTCTTGACGCGTGCAGGGTTGCTGGCATCCCCGGAATTCCCCAGAGTCCAGCTGCAATTCTTACAACAGCTGGGTGTGTGCATGTGGGAGGGGGGCATTAATTTTCCCAGTGACACTATATTGCCCCTTGAGGTGGCTCAATTGTGGCAATTAAGCCCTATCAACCTGAGCCAAGACCTGCCTGCTCCGGACATAAACAAAAATCATTAGGATGGCTTGTTGACATGGATCGTCAGACATCTGCCCGCATTTTTTGCCACGCCTGACAGGCTGGCCACAGGGTCATAATGTGCTTTACGTAGGGCTGCCTGTGAAGGTGGTCCGGAGACTTCAGCTGCTCCACTAGAGGCCTGCGTGTCCAGTGACGAGTATCAGTTCATGAGCCCCTATAGCACCTATTCCATACTGGTTGCCAGTTGGAGCCCAGGTCCAATTTAAAGTGCTTGTTTTAACATACACAGCCCTGAACGACTTAGGACCTGGACACTTGCCTTTGCCCATATATACCCAGCTGCCAACTGCGATCTCGGAATGTCCAGATATTCACTGACTAAGGGCAGCATGGATGGCTTGGGACGCTTTTGTCATCTGCGGGATCCCTCTGTCTGTACCTGGAAAATATTTTCAAAAACTCGATGCTGTGTTTCAGAATTTTGAAAAGGGTGCGACTTCCAATTAAAGGAGGTAGGTTTGGCTTTCCAGGTCTCGCTCTATATTGTCAGTCCTGTCTGCTGGCATGTCGGTCTTGGTCTTGGCTTGTACAGCAGATTGGATCTGCTGCCCAGATTGGATTTCAGTCCTGGAATCTTCCTCTCTCCAAATGGGTGTTTCCAGTGCATTAAAACGCCTTGTTTTCTCCCACGGCTATGACTGTTAGTGACCCCGGTGTATAACATCGGAGGAATTACACTTTAATCCTTACTCCCATGCTAAACTGACTCTATAGAGCAACATGGTTCAGCCACTTTGGCTTTGGAAATACAAACATGATTCGGTGACAGAGGACAGCTGTTTTGCCATTGATTTGGCACATAAGTGCAGAGCGGTGCAGGTATGGGGGTAATCAAGGCATGCCTCTTTAAATCACATTCATGTATCTCTCAGAGCCAAGAGAGGCTTTTCTCAAGTCTTCTTCTCACTTTGCCACCACCTTACGGGTTTGTTTTTTCTTTTAGGAAACGGATACATAGAAGGCAAGGAACTGGAGAACTTCTTCCAAGAGCTGGAGAGTGCCCGGAAGGGAGCTGGAGTGGTATGCAGTGCGCTACATCTCCTTTTTCCCAGCAGTGGTCTTTTCCTATGCCCTGTGCCTTCCCTTTCCGCTTAAGGCTGCCTGGTTATTGGGGAGCAAGCCCTCTGCATGCAGCAAGCTCACCTCCTAGTAGACATGTGCAGAAACAGGCCGCTGGTCAAGCGGGGTTCATGCAGCACATGGCTCCCACGGCTTCCCTGGGGCTGCTTTGCCCAGCCCCAGAGACATCCTGCATGTGCCTTTTGCCCACACCCTATGCCTCCCTTGGGACCTTTTTCTGCCCATGGAAGCCCCCTCCTTGGGCCATCCAGAGATGCTTGCCAAGGAGCTCTTCCACGCAAGTTGCCAGAGAGCCTCTGGGGAGCATGTTTCTACTGCGTTCTGGTGGGGGGGTTCAAAAGCACAGCCATGGCTCAGGGTAGCTAAGGCCCCCCAAGTCCCACATAAGAGGAAACAAGGTAAATGCATTGTAACAACGACAGGGGCTTCCCAAGCTGGTTCTCTCCAGGTATGTTGGACAGCAACACAGCATAGGCATTGGCCATGGGAATGATGGGAATCGCAGGCTGACAATCTAAGCTCATCCTCACTCCTTTGCAGCCTAACCTGCGTCACAGGGTTCTTGTGCAAATAAAAATGGAGTGGAAGAGAACCTTGTAAAGCCACTTGGGTTCCTCAGACGGAAAAAGGCAGGATATAAATGCAAAGTCACAACAACAGCAGTAGCAGCAGCTCTTTCATCAGGCAGACTGGCCCGCCTGTATGTTTGACACCCGTCATCAGATAAAATCCCACCTGCGACATGAGTCATGACCCAGTCCTTGCCAGCTGGAATGAGAGCACAGACCAGAGCAGGCCCATATCGCCTGCCCCTCCTGGCAGAGGGGAGAGACGGTTGCGGAACAGCTGCAGTCAGATTGCCCAGCTGAACTGAGCCTGCACAGGAGGCGGGCTGAGGCGGCTGTGGCTCTTCTGGAGCCCAGGATCCATGTGCAGGAGGGGCGAGCGCCAGCTGTGGCCTGTCCTCATGCCGCCTGGCGGGCTGTAAGTGGGCCTTGCGCTTTTCATACCACATAGAGGCGTGCCAACCCATTTGCAAATCATGCCCTTCAAGAAGCGAGAGTCTCTTGTTTCTTAAAGTTACCCATTCTGGCAGGCGGCAAATGCCGGCACTGGTGGTTGACCTTTATTTCGCCCATCGAGGTTTGGCCTGTTCTTGGGCGGCCTCACCTCAGCATGCAAGCTGCCCTGGAGCACGCTCTTTGGAACAGGTGGCTTATGCTGCAGTGTTTCACATTTTATTTTTTTTTAAGTTTTATTATTATTTTCTACTAACTAACAAACCTAACAAAAAGAAACTAAAAAAAACATCTATCATCAAAAACATCAGACCTACTGGGTCAGCCCCCCATACTTTTTCTTTTTATGGCAATCCATAAACATATTTAAATCTATGCATAATCCCGTTTCTCTAGCCAATAAAAAAAGAAATTTGAAGTTTGATAGAAGTCCGTGTCTTCTTTCTCCTTCAGAGACAGAGTGAATCTGTCCATTTTGGCACAGTCCAAGATCTTTTTTAAAATCAGTTTGTCGGTAGGTGGTTCTTCACTCTTCCAGTGTTGGGCAAATGCAATCCTCGCCGCAGTAGTTACATGCAAAATCAGGTACATTGCTTGATTACCAACATCATCAGGTACAATGCCTAGTAAGAAAACTTCAGGTTTAAATATTAGAGGTTTTTGTAACATTCCCACAAGCCGTTCGTATATTTTAATCCAATATTTTTTTGCCTTATCGCAAGTCCACCACATATGATAAACGGTACCCCGGTTTGTGTTTACATTTCCAGCATCCATTTGACATATTTGGAAACATCTTAGCTAATCTATTTGGTGATAAATACCATCTATAAAACATTTTATACAGGTTTTCTTTATATGAGGTTGTTAATGTTACTTTAATATTTCTTTCCCACAGCTTTTGCCATTTCTTTAACTCAATATTGTATCCAAAATTTTGTGCCCACGTTATCATAGTTTCTTTAACTTGTTCATCTTCCATTCTCCTATCCAAAAGAAAGTTATACAATCTTTTAATCATTTTCTCATCTGATTTTAAAATCACATGGTCAAATGTTAATTCCTTATAAAAACCCCACATTCTATAGTCTTTAACATATCTCGATTGCATTTGAACCTTGTGCCACCAAGAGATAGTAATTCCTTGCTCTTGTATTTCTTGATTCAGTTTCAATCCTCCATCATTATCCAAAATATCATCATATCTCACAATCATATCAAAATTCAATGCGTTTGGGTATACAAGAGCTTCCCTGGGCGAAAGCCATCTTGGCCAGTGTTTCACATTTTAAAACCTCTGGCAAATTACCTGTGCTACTGATCTCCCTTCCTTTTGCTTTGGAGCACTGCGTCGTGTGCGTGTCCCACCTGCCCATGGGTCTCTTCGCATTGGTGTTATTTCTACAGCTGCAAATGTCAAGCACCACGTCCCCCTTGTCCAAAGAGTGGTGCTGCGTTAGGAGCATTGGATGAGCGTGTCGCTTCTTCTTTTCACAGGAATCTAGAAATGCCAATTTTGCAGAGAAAATGCGATCTTTCATGCAGAAATACGACAAAAACGCAGATGGGAAGATCGAAATGGCCGAGGTGAGCACAATGTGGAGGCTGTGCACCGCAAAACATGGGAAAGGGCATTTCCCTATTGAAACCTCTTCTCTTTTGGTAAGAAGAACTGCTCTTGTTAGGATGGTATAGGACCGAATGGCAGCATTTCATGTAATTGGCCACGGAAGTTTGTTCTAGCTTTGGCATTCAGTCCCAGTTGGAAGTGAAGGGACTAGGCATTGAAGGACCGCTTGTGCTCATGAGTACGCCTGAAGTGTGCTTCTGTTCACTGGCACTTCACTGCTGTGGGCAAGGACCATGAATGCCCCTTGCGAGAAGGCACATTCCTTCAGTTCTGGCTCACGGGAAACCAGTTGCACTGCAGTCCACTGGAACCCTCTTGCGGTGCCATCGAGGGCCAGACGGGAATGATGTTAAGTGCATCAATACAACGCACACGCACCTTTTGGTCAGGAAGGGTCAGGAAGCCCCGAGGAAGCTTTCGCAGTCATTGGATAGGTGAGAGGCAAACTTTAACTCCCTCTGATCCCAGCTTTTCCCAGCCGGGTGTGCTGCACTACAGCTCCCATCATCTACAGGGGCTCCACCTTCTGTGTACGGCTGGGGGCAACTGCAGGTGTAGGCCAGCACACCTGGATTGTGCAGGTTGGGGAAGGTGCTCGATCCATTTCAAGGCAACACTGGAGCTTTGTCATGGCAGAGGGGGAGAGGGGCTCCCCCACGCCCTTGGTCCAGAGCCAGCCTTCCCTGCAGAACAGAGACGTTCGGGGAGGCTGCATTCGCAGAGTCACCTTCCTGTCTTGGTTAGTGCAGAGGGCCTGGCAAGGTAGGAGAGCTCTGCCCAGCATCTTTCCCCACCACGGGTTCCACGTTTGCCTTTTACGAATGCACTGTTTTAGAACCCAGATTGCGCTGCTTGAAACCTTCTGCTCCTTGAAGAGCCTGCTTTACCCTGAGCAGCATGGGCAGCCATGAGCACCCCAAAGGGAACTGGCTTTCCACAATCCTAGAACTGCCCTTGTTTTTCACTAACGACATGGCAAGGCAGAAGGCAGCGGGAAAGGGCACCCACACTGAGTTCTTGGAGGCTTCTGGAGAGCTTCAGCTCCCAGGGGAGTTGCTCCTGGGCTCAGTGAGCAGCCAAACTGGGCTTATCTGATATACTGGGTATAAACCTGCATAATACTCCATCTAATGAAGTGGGCAACAACGCACCAAGAATTCTGTTGCAATAATTGGGTTAGCCTTTAAAGTGGCCCGAGAGCCTTTGTGGTAAAGCAGTTCAAACTCGTTCCTGTTTGCACTCTCCCAGTGAAATTGCCTCTCTTCTGTTGACATGCACACCCTCTTCCCCTTCTACCCACCCGCACAGCTGGCCCAGATCTTGCCCACGGAAGAGAATTTCTTGCTGTGTTTCCGACAACATGTGGGCTCCAGTGCTGAATTCATGGAGGTAAGAACTTGGTTGGGATGCGATCTCAAAATACTGGGCAGGGCCGTTGAAAGACGGATGGGCAGACGCCCCACTCTTGCTCACAAGCACAATTCAGGGCGGATCAAGGCCTTAGCGCTCACACAGGCCTCCCTGTGCAGGCCTCCACTCTGGCCACCACCAGGCGATTCAGGCAAGACGCTCACGTGCGCTCACATGTGGGTCTCCATGCATCCTTTCAAGCCTAGCACCACTGAAGTGGCGTCTCTGGCTGGCACTGCTCTTGAGCGCCTGGTCGAGCTGGGGTTTAAACTGGCAGCTTGCAGCTGGCACTCTATGCCCTGCCCCAGCCACTTGAAGCCGCTTCCCCTGCCCCGCGGGAACGTGTCTGGAGAGGCTGCAGCCACTCCTTGGCCATGGCCAGCCAGTGTCTGCAGCGCCTTGGCCCAGGAATGCTCTGAGGATGACAGCAGCAACACGACCTGCTGGGGACACGAGGAAGCCCATCTCCCCTCTGGAAGCACTGGGCCCTCTCCAGCGCCACTGACCTGGGAGCTGCGTCTCCGGACAGCCAGGACTTGGGGCGGCTGGGAGGTGGGTGGGTGGGGCCCTCGTCCAGGCAAGGAGGGAGGGCTGGGCACAGGGCCACCTGGCCACTGGCAGCCAGTCAAGGCTCTTTCACAAGGGCCACATGAATAAATGAAGGCGGAACGGCAGCCATCCTGAGCCAGGCAGCCAGCAGCCGTGTGGTAGCCACCTGCCCAGCACTCGCAGTGGAGAACAGGAACCGAACACCCTGGCGGAATGAAACTGGACCCGTCCCGCACAGGATAAAGGGCAGAGGAAGTTATCCGGCAGGCACATGCAATTAAATATGAAATTAATCCCAAGTAAGCAATACTGCTCATAATAATTTGCGCTTAAAATATTAATTCTCATCATAATGAATGAACCTTTGACTCGGTATTTTCCATTGCCAGGCCCTCCTCCAGACAAAAACCTCTCTCACGTGACCTTGGTGGCTTGGAAGCATGTTGCCCCGCGACCTGCCAAGGTTTTTGAGGGCCTGGGTGCTCCTCCGAGGAGCAGGACTCACTCCCTCGCTATGGCTTCTCCTTCTCAATGTGCAGCTTCGTTTGCCGTGGTTTCCGCATGCCAGCCACCTTGGGGGACTTGCGAGGAGATGGGATGCAGCCCCTGCAAATGACTGAAAAGGGAAAACCAGGAACATCACCGTGGTCATGGCTCTCTGCTTTTTCCTCTGCAGGCCTGGCGGAAGTACGACACAGATCGCAGCGGCTACATTGAAGCCAACGAGCTCAAGGTGAGCTGCGCTTCCCCGCCGAGCCAGGAGGTGGCAGGAGCCGCTGGCCCTGCTGGCCAGTTCTGTGGGAGGCTCCTTTGAAAGAGGGCCTGCTGCTAGACGAGGCGGCATCTACTCTTGGAAGCGCCTGGCCGCATCAGTGCGTTGGGTGGACTCGGTGTTCTCTGGTGCTTCACAAGGGCCTGTGGGGTGAGCCAGGCTTGGGGTCCTCGTCTCGTGGCTGGGGCCGAGCCTGAGGGTGGTCAGAGAGGAGAGACCTGGTGCTGGGCACCCTGGCTCACAGTTTACCACAGAGCCGTTCTGCCATGACACCAGCTGCTCGGTGCCAAGAACCCCCACTGCACTGGCGGGGTTCCCACAGGGAGGACGGCTGGGATCTGTTCTCATGCCTCCCAGGCGCAGGACACAGGGTGCTGGGCACAAGTGAGAGGCAGCCACGCTCCTGCCGAGCACCGGGAAGAACGTCCTGGCCGTTGGAGCCGTGGCAGCGGAGCCTGTGCCCTCAGGAGCCGGAGGGTGCCCCCACCCTGGCGGCCGCAAGGTGCCGTCCCGCTGCAGCTGTTAGTGGTGCTTGAACCTGGAAACCGGCACAGAGAAAGGGGCTGGACCCAGTGTCCCGCCTGGCCCCTTCCCACTCTCCTATTCCAGGATTCTGAGCTTGTTGCTTCCAAGAGTGGAGCAGGGCTGCCCGGGACAGGGTGTTCTGGTGGAGCTTCCCCAGGTAGGGCTGGCAGCGCCGGCAACGGCCGCAACAGCCCCGCTCGGCTCTCGTGCTGCGGAAGTGGCCGGGGCGGAAGATCCCACGGTGCCCAGTGGACGCGCTTTGGAGGAGGGCTGCTGCACGCCGGCTGGGCCGCCGCAGCTCACTCTCCTTTCCACAGGGATTCCTGTCTGACTTGCTGGAGAAGGCCAACAGGCCCTACGACGAGCCACAGCTGCAGGAATACACGCAGACCATTGTGAGTGCCAGCGGCTGGCCGGGGGGCGGGGGGCAGCGCTGGTTCCCGGACCACTCCGTGCGGGAGAGCGTGGCTCTCCACAGCTGGGCCGGATGGGAAAGGGAAGAACGGGGCTGCATCCAGGACGATAGGGGGGGCGGGATCTGAGCTGCAGAAGCCGGAAGCTGCCCGCTAGGCTGGCAATCCCGCTTGTCTGCTCTGCGGAGGCGGTGAGAGAAGGGCACTCTGCACATGCCTGCACATGCTTTTACTTCCATGGTTCCTGTAAGGTTCAGTGACGGGATGAAGCAGCCTCCTGCACGGGGCTGCTTCAGGGTGCCCCCGTCGCAGGGAGGCCGGGTCAACCTGTCCGCTCGCACAAGTAGCTTGCGATTATGGGAATGGCCGTCCGGCACATCCATGGGGCATCAGGATGGGGAAGCTGGCTTACTCCGGGGAACCTTCTGAACCAAGCAGCTGTAGAGCAGTGCAGAGAAGAAAGGCTGCAAACCCGGGCAGACTGCTCAGTAGCTGAGATGTCAGGCAGAGAACAATGTTTTCCTTGCCGATCTCGGCTTCTGAACTGCATTTGACAGAAGGAAAAAATGGCAGAGGAGAAAGCCACACAGTTGACTGAGCACTGTGCGCAGTCTGGCCTTGAGTAAGAAAGGCGCCCTTAACTGGAGAGGCAGGGAGGGATCTGGGGCCCCTCCATGTGCAGAGCCGTGAGCTCTGCCCCCGGGCAACAGTATGATTACGGTTGTGGTAATGAGCAGATGAGCCCCAGCTTTCCCTTCCGGCTCTGACTGCTAAGAATCAGGCTGCAGAGCCGTGGAAACCCCTTGGATGGCAGCAGCTTCTGTGCCTTAAAATCTCCCTCCACATGTCACACTGCTGTGTGTCTGGATGTTTTGCCCTTTACAGTGAATGCGACTCCTTTTCGCCAAACATGACAGGGCGCATGAGTGAAGTCACCGCAGTGTGGCCTGTACCGTTTGTTCTGAGCGCACCGTTTGCCTTCGCTGCCGAGCAGATGTAGGAGCCGCAGTGCAGGACACACAATCAAAACGTGCACAGCCACTCCTTGCATGTTCCTCCATCGCTGATCTAGCGACCCCCCTCTTCCAAGATGGCACACCTGCCGTGTCTCTCTTTGGCTTACGGGAACAGACACAATGAAGGGAAACCAGGCTCGCCTAATCCAACGATATTGCTTATTTGGGATTCCTCCACAAGAGACGTGGGGGTGCCACGAAAAGCCACAGGGCCCTGCTTCTGTCATGCAAGTGCCCCACTTCAGACATGAGATGTTACTGAAGCAGCAGCCTCCCAGGCTTCCCTCGGCTTCTTCCATCTCCACAGAGCCCCTCAGCCAGCCAAAGCGGAATAGGGACCTCCTGGGACCCCTTCCCACTAAGTCTGGCTCAGACCCCCATAGAGCCAGGCACTGAGGCCTCGCTGTGGCTGGCGCACTGAAGGGCAGCTGACGGAGAGCTCGGAGGTGAGATGGGTGCATTTATTTATTTAACTTCTCTGCCACCCGATTGCTGCAGCTCCCTGAGTAGTTTACAACAATCCATTACAGATACACCACATTATCAGTGTTATTAAAAAGATTGCCATCAGAAATTTAAAACCAAATTTAAGAGACATATAAAAATTCCAGTAACTTGAACAAGGTAAATCTTGTGACTGGATAAGACAAGACCAGATCCTAACAATGCTCCAGTAAACTAATGAAATGCTCTGCAGTAGAGGATACTTTTAACCTGGCGCTGAACAGAGAGTAAGGTTGGTGCCAGGTGGGTCTCAGTGAGCTTGTTCCACAATTGGGGCCCACCACTGAAAAGGCCCCGCTTGTTTTCTCCTTGGAGATGGCAGTCAGAGGTAGACCCCAGATCTTGATCGCAGAGTCTGGGTAGACGGTGACTGGGAGAGGTGCTCCATCAGGGACGTTGGTCCCAAGCCAGGTAAAAACAAGCACCTTGAGTCCAGTACCTCAAGAGCACCACAGAGCTTGCTTGTCTCCTCAAGGGGAACCGGCCTCGCCTCTGGAAGCAAAGGAAGCAAAGGGGCAGCCCATCCTGGGCTTCCACTGCAGAGGGAAGGGGGATGGATGCCCCACAGGCACCTTCCGGGCAGACTTCCAGCCACTAACCCGCTGTCCCTTTGTGCCCCCACAGCTGCGCATGTTTGACTTCAACGGGGATGGGAAGCTCTGCCTGTCCGAGATGTCACGGTAAGACTTTCCCTTTGTGTCATTTCGTTCAGAACCCTCCAAAGCCAGCCTAGTTCTTGGTGTTGGCTTGTCCTTCCACAGGCATAGTCCTAGCGTCCCTAAGTCTCTCTGTCCTTCCTCAATGCCTGTCTTCTTCCTGTTGGGAGAAGAGTTCAAAAGAGGCAATTCCGGCTTCCCCAGTGAAATGGAGCTGCAGGCCTGGAACTGCACCCGTTGCACCTCTGAGGCATTTGCTTGCAGCCTATTCCTGTCCATTTGCAGCCAAGTGAGCCAGAAAAAGCCTGAAGCCCCTTGGCTATCTACCCAGTTAGGATGCGATCCCACTCGTGGGGGGACAGGAAAGAGCCCAGCAGCCCCTCAGCAGTCAGGGAAAGTTGGCCAAAGGAAGCGGGGCAAAAGCAAGGTGCAGCTGCCCCATGAACGTGCTCCCCCTGACCGCGGCTGCTCCGGGAGAGCTAGGAGCAGGCCAGCTTTTCTGAGTTTCTAAGACTGTTGCTTGGACAGTGCCAGGCCAGGCTTCCAGGCCTTTTTTTGCACAGCCAATCAGTAAATAACCTGGAGCTGCAGGGAGCCCAGCAGGTGCCAAGGGAGCTGCTTGTGGGCACTGCAGCACAGGAGGGCTGTGCCCTGGGGACTCCAGGGAGAGAGCTGCTCACTGGAACCCAGGTGTGCCACACGTCATGATCCAGGCTTCAGCCGTCACCCACCCAGCCACCTCCAGGAAGCCACGCTCCCTCTCACCGGTCACCCTTAGCTGCAGGCCACACTGCTTTCCTGAGATGCAAGGGCAGCTTCTCCATCGTCACGGCTGAGGCTGCCACTTTCCTGGCCCACGACTGACTGACATTGTCCCTTTCGCCTTGCAGACTCTTGCCTGTGCAGGAGAACTTCCTCCTCAAGTTCCAGGTAAGATGGCTTGTGTGCATCTGTGCGTGTTCCCAGCAGCTTGACGGAATCCACCATGCCTTCTCATCCTTCTCCTTTTCCTTCTTTTTATTTGCACAGGGAATGAAACTCGACTCAGAGGAATTCAATGCGATCTTTGCATTTTATGACAAGGTATGACATCCAGGAGGAGGAATGGAAAGGCAGAAGAATTTTGTTCCCAGTGTCACATGGGCCTCAGACGGGTCCCAAAAGCCCCCAGCCCAGGACCTGTTCAGAGCTCTGGCAAGAGCCAGAGTTCCCGTCCAGGGCCGGCAGAAGCGGGAGGGCCCGTGGGTTGCCAGTGACAGCAGAAAAGCGCCGTGCCTCGATGTGGTGAATGTTTCCCAAATCTTTCTCTGCACTTCTGCCATTGATATCTAGGATGGCAATGGCTTCATTGATGAGAACGAGCTGGATGCCCTCTTGAAAGACCTTTCTGAGAAGAACAAGAAGGTGAGCTCAGGCCGTCTGAGGACGGGCTCGCTGCAGTTGCGAGACCAGGGCGCAGGCGCCCCACGGCCGAAGGCGGCCCAGCCTTGGAGCGGCCCTTTCCCAGCAGGCATCCGAGATGCTGATCCTTCTCTCTGCCTGTCTGGGCAGCCAGCATCTCTGCTGGAGAGGCACCTCATCTTCCACTCACGTAGGAGTGCTCAGTTCAGTGGCCTTGGCTTTGGAGATGCTGGCCTAATAGGCAAACGCGAGTAAGAAACGTTATCCAGAAGCCCATCCAAGAAGCCGTGTCCAGCCAGGGGTTGCGGGATGGTGTGAGAGGAGCGAGGCCTCAAGTTCAGCCAGAGGCTGTGGAGGGACCTCTAGTAAAATTGAAGGGGAGCTGCTTCCATGAAGAAATGGGTGGCCATGGGCTGAGCAACAGAACCGCTGGGACTGGCGGGCTCTGGAAAAGACTGAGATGAGAAAGACCTGAAGGGAAAGGGCATTTCCTGGCTGGAGCTCCCATCATTCCCAGCCAGTATGCTGTCAAGCCCATTGCGGGGCACGGCGCTGGGGGCGACGGGTGTGCAGCAGGAATGCCACCTGGGATGGGTTGAGCGGCTGGGAAGCCAGGACTTCTGCTGAGGGTTCGGGAGAGGCATGCTTTCTTGGAAACAGCCAGAGGGGCTGTTCAGTCTCGGCAGGCGAAGCTTATCTGGCTGGCTGAAAAGGAAGCTACAAAGGCCAGGCCACCCAAGGCGGGGGTGGGGGCCGGAGGAGGCTGCTGGGAACAGTGAGGGCGAGCGCGAGGGGACTGGCCCCCAGGGGGGGCTCTGCTTCCACCCCAGGGTTCTGCGTGGTTTTGCTGCTGTGTCCTGCTTAATTCTCTCTCGTGTGAGCCGTCTTCTCTGTGTGTAGCACGTGGCGCAAACGCATCCAGGCATGCAACTGGGCGCCTGGTTTAAAGTTCTGAGAGCTAGTAGTCTTTAACATTTGTATCTCATCCACTCTGCTTTGAGGGCAGAAGAGAGAGGATGATCGTGTTTGAGTTCCAGCCCCGTAAAGTTGGATTTGAGATCAAAATGGCACGTTTCAAACTGTGCTGTGATGAGAGGTGGATCCTGAGGGTGCAGGGAAACGTTACCAGGATGCAGTCTGCCACTACTCTGGCTCTCCAAAGATGAGTGGAATCGCTCCCCTGATTTTTGCGCCATTTTCCTGGGCTTCAGGTAGGAGCAGAATGCCTCTCCTCCGCAGGCTGACCTCAACGTGCCCCCCTCCCGTCTGTCTTTTGCCAGGAAATAGGCATCCAGCAGCTCACCAACTACAGAAAGAGCATCATGAACCTCTCTGACGGGGGGAAGCTTTACCGCAAGGAACTGGAGATTGTACTCTGCAACGAGCCCCCTCTGTGAAGAGGCGCCACCCCTGCACTCGCCTGCCCCTGCCCTGCCCTGCCCTGCCCTCAAAAACAAAGAAAGCTCACAGGGGCCCCCGGGAGGAGTGCTTGCTGCCCCATGTCCCGGCGAACCGCTCAACCTAGCAAATTTTGGCTCGCTGATCTGCTTGTGACTTCCAAGGCAGCGCCCCACCAGAGCAGGGGGAGGCAGCACACGCGACCGTCTTTCTGTCGTGGGCTCGGATCGAGACTATCCACTTTGTTTTCCTGCGTGTTCGTCTCTTCACTCACCACAGCTGATGTAGTCTGAATCCCCCTATCTGGAGTTTTTCTTTGTTCTCTGCTTTTCTCTTTTGCCTTCCTCTTGTGTTAAAATCTTCTTGTTTACCAAAGAAGAGTTTACAAATAAAATAAAATTGATGTTCTGCCTAAGGATTTTGTGGTTGCTTTGTTTGCCTGAAAAATCCAAGGACCTGTGAGGAAGACCCAGACTTTGATGCGGGTGGCGGGGGGGGGGGGGCATTTCTCTCTTTTTAAGAGTCAGATTGTAAAAACCAACACATAGGCCCAGATTTTGAAAACATAGATGTGCTCCAAACTTGCTGGGCTCCCCTTCCCAATAGAGGGATTTTAGATATAAAAGAGACTTGATGTAGAAGCAATGAGTGCGCTGAATACTTGGGTAAATTTGCAGTTAGGTGCAGCAATTTTTTTTGCAGGAGCATCTGACAGTTCGTTTCCTTTTTCCCACCTTCCCTCATCCCCTCAGATCTCCACTGGGTGGGAACAAGTATCCCAAGCAGAATCAGTGTCCTCTGGTTGGAATCGTCGCTGCGGTGTTGCCAGCTTTCCCCCTTTCATCCACCTTGAGTTATGCCTTCTCCCAGTCTCCCTCCATCCCACCTTTTCCAGCTGATCCCCACAATGCCTTCTCCGCCAAAGCCTTTCGAGTGGCTTGCAAGCTTCTCAATTCGCTCTGCTCCAGTTCGCTTCAGCCTGAGGCAGCCCGCGCTTCCGTCTCTGCAGATCCCCCTTTGCTGTTCACTTGCTCCTCCTGTCCGTTTCTCCCGTCACAAAACAAGTTGCTGCGGACAACATCCTTACGGAATGGAAGACTCCCTCAGCACTGCCTGGGTGCATCTTGCACCAGCTGGGGCGGTTAGGAGGTTTGGGTGATGGAGACCCTTCCAAGAAAACCAGGGGTGAGGAGCCATCTGTGGGGCCCAGGATAAGCCCTGGCTGAAGCAGGGTGCAGGGCCCACTTCATGGTTGGAAGCAAGCCCCAATCCAGGAGAGTCAGAAACCAGCTGGCCGGTAGTGTGAGCAAAATGCCTGATCCTGGGTTCTCGAGAGGGACCAAGAACATCAGCGTGCGCCTCCTTCACAGGGTTGTGGCAGGAACCTTGTCCTCCCCTGGGGGGAAAGCAGCCAGTGGGGAGAGGCGGCATCTACGTGCAGCTGCTTGAAGCAGGGGACGTGGCCCCTTGAGGGAGGCTCGGCAGCCCACGCACGGCCGATGTGGCCCAAGAAGAGCGCTTGGAGCAGCCAGCTGGGGAAGGCACACGAGTGGCGGGAGCTGCTACTCGTGAGGAAAAGCATCAGGCAGGGTGGCCACCTGGCAGGAGGTTGCAGGCAGGCTTGGGGCAGAGGGCAGGTTAGAGCAGGTGTGCGACCAGCTCCTGCAATTTGGACCTTGTGAAACTCGTCTGCCTGCAAAACAGGACGGACAGCAGTTTTTCGCCACTCTTGCCACGCAACTTGCTCGTAGAGCCCCTGGCGGGAGGCTAGCAAGGAAGCTGTGCCCCGGCTCGGGAGACAGTCCAAGACCGCAGGGCATCCTGCTTTTTGGCGCAGCCTCACAGGCACAAACAAGCCACTTCACAGGAAGCCTGCCGGGTTCTGACGACACACCGAGTCATGGTGGCTTCCCGCTCACAAAGCAGGTGGCTTCCTGCTTCTTGCTCACCATCACCATGCTCCGCACACGCCCTTCTCAGCCAGCTTGCCCCCCGCAGGCACCTGCCTTCCACAAACACCGCTACTCCGAGTCATCTAATCGGGCATGGCCTTCCCCACTGCCGTGGAATTTGGCATGGTATGCATGCCATACAAAGGCATGCATTATATCTACAGTGTAATAAAATAAGATTTAAAGTAAGACTTTCCGATGGAAGCATTCCATGCCAGCATGTGGATCCTGCAACTGTGAAGCAGACGTGTGCATCCACCGAATGCAAAACCAGAGAGAACATGGCTAGGTTTTCAGCTCAAAGATGTACTTTTCCTCAGTGGTTGCAGGTGAGAGTAGCTGTAGGCCACGTTCGAACGGGGCCAGGCAAGGGGAGGCTGCTTTGGCGAAATTCTGGCCAGTGGAATGATGGGCCGTTGACCTGCATGGAGAAAGGCTTTCCCTGCTGGCATCCTTCACCAGGACTCTGTTAAGAGAATATAGATTTTGATGTGATAAATTTAGCTCTCAAATGAAAGACGATTGAAGTGCTTCAGTTAGGCAGCTTTTGTGGGGACGGTCTTCATAGGCTTTGCTATGTTTCTGATGTTTTGAGATGTTTCAGAATTTCTACTCATTAGGAATAGTGGATGGCAGAAAGGGTGGGCATGAATCCCCATCAAAAGCCCTGTTGGCCAATAAACCCTTTTGCAGGAACTCCTTACATGCACTCAAGCCAGTGAAAAGCCATGAGGGCTAGAGACATTCCAGAAGAACCTTAGGAAATACAACCCTCTGTGGCTGTACATTTGGGTCTAGCCAGTGGTCACAGAAAGCAGAGCAATGGATAAATGAGAATATAACCCGGCAGGAACAGGGAGAAATAGACTTTATATTGCATGTCAGTTTTAAAAGTTCACCTGACAGCTTGTCTTGATGAAATCTAAGTTCATGGCATTCAACATTGTTTCATCTAATTGCCGAGCTAGCTGGCAGATGGCTTATAGCAAAAATTCTGTGAAGCGCAAAGAAACTCTCATGTCCAAGCCAGAGATGAAATGCGACCAGACAGAGCATCTGCTGAGCTTGTTCTAATTGCCGTGAGCTGGCACTCTGCACTGCGGCTAAATTAGGACAGGTGAGAGCAGGGCTGCCTATGATGTCTGACTTTTTCAAGCTGTGGTTTGGTGCATCTGTAAAGGTATTCGGCATCAGAATGCAGCTGGCATTGATGCTGAAGCTCCAACGCTCATCCCAGTGTGTACAGCAACGGAACCAGCTGCTTAATGAGTGGGCTCTGGAACTCGCCTCTGAGGCCCATCTCTTTTGAGAGGCCATCAAACAAATCTTGAAAGGCAGGCCGGGTCCATAGCGACTCTGCTTGTCTTCAGCCTTGACTGATGACAACAAAGGGTTGCGGGGTTTGGGGGACAGAACTGGAATGCCTGCACGAGCTGCAGGGGCAGCCAAAAACAGAGTCCTCGGGAAGTCGTGGGCCACATGACTGTTCCACACAGATGTCTCTGAAGTTCTTTAGGGGAGAAAAATTGGCACTGCCATGAAACCCTCTGCAGTCAGCGCGTACTCGGGAAAAGGTGCTTTCTGCAAGAGGGATTCATGCCACTGCTCTTCTGTATCACATCCAACAGAAAAACCTCACTGAGGCGGAGACCAGGGGTTCCCACCACGACCACTCGCATGAACCAGGGGCCTTAATCAGAGATCCAATATAACCTTAGCGCCTTTTTTACCTTTTTTGCAGCTGCTAGCTGGCTTGAACGGAATCATTCTTTTGTCATGGAAGCCCAAACCTATTAGAAAGTTAGTGGGAGTACTGCTAAGCCTAATCACGTGAAATGGAGTCAGAGGTCCCAACAGAACTCCCTTCAAAAGACACAGAATGTCAAGATCGGAAACAGAAAGTACAGAAGGAAGGAAGGTACAAAAGCAGGCCTATAAATTCACTTTTTTCAGCACAGGGAACAGTCAGTTGAACACTAAAGGGGAACAAAGGCTAAAAAGCAAGTAACTGGCTCAAGATGGGAGTAACTGGCAGACCTGGGGCCTGAGCCTCACAATGCAAAACTACTCCTTTGAATCCACCCGCTTTTCCATTCGAACCCATTTCACAGAGTGGAAAACTGAAGTTAAAATGCAAAAAAAATGGACCAAGATCCTGAGCTCCCTTGTCCTACTCCTTCCTTCCCTAAAGCTGCAGGCCTGCATACACTTGCACAATAAGCCACTCACATACCAAAAGGAGGAAGGGCCTGGGGCTGGAGGTGCAAAAGTCCATGCACCTCCCGAGGGTGTAAGGAAGAAATGTTCCGTGATTTTATTGGTTTCACTGCTTTGTTGTATTATGTTGGTTTTGTGTATGTGATTTTGTTAACCTCCAAGAGAGCCCTCGAGGTATGGGGCAGGATAAAGATGTATTTAATAAATAAATCAATTGAAAGCGAGTTGCTCCAGGATTGGGGGGCAATAACCCCACTCTGTAAGGTGGTGTTGTCTGTTGGTGTTGTTAGTTGCGTCTGACCCATCGTGACGCCATGGACAACGTTCCTCCAGGCCTTCCTGTCCCCCACCATCCCCGGAATCCACCTAAGCTCACACCCACTGCTTCAGTGACTCCGTCCAGCCACCTCATTCTCTGCCGTCCCCTCCTTCTCTTGCCATCTATTGTCCCCAGCATTAGGCTCTTCTCCAGGGAGTCCTTCCTTCTCATTAGGTGGCCAAAGTATTTGAGTTTCATCTTCACTATCTGGCCTTCTAAAGAGCAGTCAGGGTTGATCTCCTCTAGGACTGACCGGTTTGATCGCCTTGTGGTCCAAGGGACTCGCAGGAGTCTCCTCCAGCACCACAATTCAAAGGCCTCAATCCTTTGGCGCTCAGCCTTCCTTATGGTCCACCTTTCACAGCCACACATTGCAACTGGGAAAACCATCGCCTTGACTATACGCACTTTTGTCGGCAGGGTGATGTCTCTGCTTTTTAGTATGCTGTCTAGGTTTGCCATAGCTTTCCTCCCCAGGACTAAGCATCTTTTAATTTCTTGGTTGCAGTCCCCGTCTGCGGTGATCTTGGAGCCCAGGAAAATAAATTTTTTATTTATTTATTTAGAAAATTTTTATGCCGCCCCATTCACCGAAGCCTCAGGGTGGCTCACAAATGTATCAGTTAAAATATTATACAATAAAAATCTGTCACTACCTCCTTTTCTTCCCCATCTATTTACTAGGAAGTGAGAGGACCGGATGCCATGATCTTAGTTTTCTTAATGCTGAATTTCAAGCCAACTTTTGCGCACTCCTCCTTCACCCGCATCAAAAGGCTCTTTAGTTCCTCTTCAGTTCCTACCATGAGAGTGGTATCATCTGCATATCTGCGGTTGTTGATATTTCTCCCAACAATCTTAATTCCAACTGGTGATTCATCCAGCCCCGCCTTTCTCATGATGTGCTCTGCATATAAGTTAAGTTGGCAGGGCGACAGTATACAGCCTTGCCGAACTCCTTTCTCAGTTTTGAACCAATCAGTGGTTCCGTGTCCAGTTCTCACTGTTGCTTCTTGACCCACATATAGGTTTCTCAAGAAGCAACAGTGAGAACTGG